TATATATATATATAACTGATATGAATGCAGCAAACAGTAGGCCTGCATCCATGGAATCCCAGATAGCGGCACAGTTCTAATCCTTCCACACACCATAAACATTTCCAATGACAAATAATTGGCATGCATACAACTTGTGACAGCTTCTAGTTTCTGGTTTCATTTCTACAATCATCTGTGTAGCAGTCGCCAATCATTGTGTGATTATATCAGACGACTTACTCATCAGTGGTTACCGATTGCTGTGAATCTTTTTAGGTTTATACTGTTTGCTGTTGTTCCTTCTGTGAATGAAAGGTGAATAATAGATGCAGGTTGTGTAATCTGAGCCGGCTAAATAAAGCTTGTCAGAAAAAAAAAACAGCCAAGGCAGTAGCAGTGCATGGAAACGGTTGTTATGGAAACTGTAGTGACAACAGGCCAGGCTGGAGCTGTATTCCTTCCCCTAGAGAGGACAAGCACTTTCCTTGCTGAGGTCCGGAAAGTTCACAAAGATGAAGGACATGGCACAGCCTGCGGAGAACATTTATAATCTCATCACCAAAGAAGAGGTTAAAATTAAAAAAGCGCACAGGTGAGCTGACTGATTGAACGCACGTATGGTACCCGCCTAATATCCCTACACTTCCAGGGACATGTTCAGACTCTGCAGATCGGTCTCTGAAATTGTGCGTCCCTGGGATTTAAAACAATACAATTCTTAACTTCCCTGCATTTTACATTCCATCCTCAACATTTATTCTTAATTGGGAAAACGGGCGGTGATTTCGGCAAATCTGATTGAGCTGCAAACTTAGCAGTTGCGCCAAGGCGGAAACTCAATTTTGCTTGTTGAGGTTGATGTTTTTGGGGGGTGTATTGGAGTGGTTTAGGTTATTTCATTGTGTTGTTTGTATTCGAGATTTTTGTGTGTGTTTTTGAATGTTATTTGTGTGTTGTCTCTTTTTTGTTTTTCTACATTTTTGTGTTTTACTTCTTTTTTTGGGTTTTTTTTTTTTTCTTTTTCTGAAACAAGAAAAACCTAAACTAATGATGGGCTGTTTCCTGGTACAACATATTTGTCCAGGAAAGGTAAGAGGAGCTTCTACAAGTCCCCGATTACACCAGGGCGTTTCGTCGTGTCTTTTTTTCAGTGCTGAAATGCATGAAAAACAAAATCCCATGTATTCCTATGGAGGCCGTTCACGCAAACGCGCTGAGTCACACTTTCAAATACGCCTGTCGCTTGGAATAGTCCCTGAGCTTCTTTTGTAGCACTGATCAGCTCCTTTTGCTCCATAGACTTCAATTGAAATGCGCTGATCAGCGAGTTTTTGTGCGCTTGTGTGTGTTTTTTAATGCGAGTTTTAGTACGTTTTTCATTGGACAACTGAAAACGAGCTTAAAAAAAACCGCTGTGGCATAGAAAACATATGTAAAACAAGCTGAAACTCACATCAAAACGCTCACAAACGCGCTAAAGCACTGTCGCCCTGGCGTGTATGGGGCCTCCCTGTTCACACCTAGGCATTTTGTCACTCAAAGCTAAGTGCGACAAAACACTCATGACAAGGAATTCCATTCATTTCTATGGCCCCTGTTCACACCTGAGCGTTTTGTCGCAAGCAGGAAAGCGCCTGTCGCTAGAAACAATATATGAGCTACTCTTTGGCAGATTAAAGCGCTTTTCGGTGCCATAGACTTCAATGGGAAACTTTGTATGATACAACGCATGACAAAACGCTCAGGTGTGAACAGGGGCCATGGAAATGAATGGGATTCCTTGTCTTAAACGTTTTGACATGCTTAGCGTTGAGCGACAAACACCTAGTTGTGACTGGGGACTAATACTCAGGAGACGCTGCATTCCCACTTGAGCATGACCATCTACAGACGATTTAAGCATTTTTGTTTTAGCCAATGGAAAGCCCGGTACAAAGAGATGGTTGTTTAGAACTGAAAAATGCTAATTTTCAGGCACTTCAATTAAAGTCTATGGGGCCGAAAATTCCCCATTCAGCTTCAGAAGTAGCACATGTACCTCCTTAAGCACCAAGCTTCGGCCTACTGTACATGGGCATTGGATTTTGGTTGTTCAGCGTTTTGGAGCTTTGAGCTTCAAGCTACAAAACGCTCAGGTGTGAATTAGGGCTTAATGCCCATGGCACCCTTAAAGTATAACTCTACCTCTGGTACAAGCTAAGGATGCACCGATACTAGTATCGGTGCTGATACGAGTACTCACCCAAATGCTCCGATACCTTCCCCGATAACAGAACTTCCGGTCAGAGGGAGATTTCCTCTGACCGGCAGTGTCGCGAGGGAACATGGAGCCGGCTTTCCGGCTAATCAGGTAGCCGGGCGGCGGGTAATGACCTGCTCCCCGGCTTCTTGATTGTCCAGGAACCCGGCTCGATGCTGTGTGGCTGGGAAGCTGCCCGCCAAACAACATGAACCCGGCTTCCCAAGCAATCAAGAAGCTGGGTGGTCGGTAATGACACTCTAGCCGAAGTGACGGTATCGGTACTTGGTATCAGCGAGTACCAAAAGATAAATATTGGTAATCATACTCGATACCGAAAAATCGGCGCATCCCTAGTACAAGCTATCCTTTAATTAATGAATGCAGCCCGCCTGATCCAATACATACCTTCATTCTTGATCCAATAATCTTTACTGCGTGGCCCCAACAGGCACTGCAAAGCCTCACTTCTATAAACGTCCTTGCCAGGTCTTTTCTGTCTGTGCATATGCACTGCCGCCCTAATCACTCCTATAGGTAGAGCCATGCCCTGCAGGACCACTTGAGGCCATCATGAGTATTCTTTCAGTAGGAAGGAATGGGGCTGTGGTGTACATATGCAAGCTAAAAAGGACCCGGCAAGGACATTTTCAGAACCAAGGCTGTGCAGCACCTAGCGGGGCATCAACACTGTATTAAA